GCACAGGAACATGTGTACTTCACAGCAATCGTAATTCCAAGTTATCTACCTGGATTTTCCGGTCTATCGATCAATTTATTGTCTGGTTTGTTTACGGGCCAATATCGCATGGAAGCGGTACCGATGTGCGGCGTCAACAAACAATAGTTTACTTACTTGTTTTAGGAAGATTTTGTGAGTGGCTGATACTACCAGTAGGGCAATAGATGCTCACCTTATCACTTATTTTCAGTGATCCATTCATATGATTTTTACAGCTATTTTTCCCTTTACACCAAACAGAATGTGTCTTTGAGGATATGCAAGATTGAGTTTTCTTTTGCCTACCGACGTTGTATAGTATAACCGCTATAACAAGGTCACCAATAGTTTTAATAGCGTGCTGGACACAATACCAAGTGAATGTTTATGCTTCTCCAAATTTGTACAGAATTTTGGTTTTATGTGCCAATATACCTGAGATGGACTGGGAGCGTTGTTGTCGATCTGTATTACCCACTCCCAAATATAGCCGTTCTCGCTAAACCTTGTTATGTCTCTGCGGAAATTCATTATTGTGAGGAATATAGATTACATCTTACAATGTTTCGGGAGGAAGTATGTCAATCGCTTCGGACTGTCTAAGCATGATCACTCTCCAAGGTCATTATATGGCTTAATCCAGAACAAATTGTAAAAGAACTGGTTTTCCCTGTAAAACTAAGATGAATGTTTGAATGATGACTCATTTAGACTGTTCCCGTCCAACGTTATTTTCGCTCGACGTCATTCACAGGAGATGTTCATTTATCCTGACGTGTTTCAAACGGTAATTTTCTTTTACGTCAATAATGTTTGTTTTTTTGTGGAAACCATTCAATAACAACATAATTAATCATCTGCAAATCAGTTGGTGATATTGTGTTCAATCGATCAAAGTCGTAAATAAGAAAAACATGTATAAATAACGATGTATATTAACAATTGATATATTTACACAGTTAAATATTCGTTGTTATTTTTGTATTGCATCGTCTAAATTGGGTAGCAATAGTTTGAACGGTTCTGTGAAGATTCGGAATGAACAATTCAAAACGTCAGCGCCAGGGAATAATCACTATTAAAACAAGAAACGGAACAACTGCAAAAATACTAACCAATCAAGCAAATACACATTCCACTGCATCATTCAGGAGCAATACACTACATGTTTGTATATATCTGTTTTCAATTGCTATTTCAGTCAGTGTTGGCATATTCAAAGTAATCTTAGAATCTTGCTTTTCTTTTATTTGTACAGTTTGACTGAGCCGGGTTCGAAACCTTGGACAGTCAATGGATACTATCATGTTTTCTGAAATTGTTAGTACTGTAATTGAGGTGTGTGCAAACCAGCATTTTTGATTAGTTAGAAATATACTATAAGGCATCTAAAATTTCAAATTTAAATTAAAACAAAATTAAAAGAAAACTGCCATTAATTGAAACACTAACGAACAAGTTGTCTGTTTCAGATATATATTGACATATGGTTCATATTTCTGCTACGGTTAATGTAGTGGGGTTTAATAGCTTGAGAATGGTGGAAAATGCTTGAGAAATAATACGGAAAAACAGAGAAAGGGTCGGAGTTATTTCCCTTCTTAGGGTAGGCGAACACCAACAGATGACAATAGGGTATGAAAGAATTAATACCTGCTGTCTTACATGTCAATGATTTGAAAACCATAAATCATATTTATAAATAATAGATTAGTATAAATATTACAATAATATATTTGATAATTAGCCATAACATTAGTGAATACAGTTATGTGTTTACTGACATGTTTATTGACATGTTACCCATGTGGGGAATCAAACTCAAACCGTAATGTGTCGAGCGAACCACTTGACTATTCCACCGCCCCTAATTGGAGTTGTAGGTTAAAGAAAACGTCCACCCTGATGCTGTCAATATTTAGTTTCACATACTCATGCTCAATAATATTTCCATTCTAGTTCCGTCATACGTTTGACTTTGCGCCTTACACTATCAAAGATGTAAATCGTCTTATCTGTATATTTAACTTGTCCTATCAACTGGAACCTAAACGAAGGCATTATTTCTTGATAAAAACACCTCTTGAACTGTAACATTTGAGATGTCTCACCAGTTAACACAATGAAAAATGTTAACGTAGACCTGCTCGAGATAAGTAAAAAGTGTGGAAAAATCTCTCTATACAGAACATCTCAGGTAATGTCATTTTCAAATGTGAATAATCAAGAAAAACGACCTTCCTTGAATGTTCCTTGGAAGTTTTAAAGATGACAATGTCATAGAGGTCAGGTGAATGTCAGGGGTCTTTTACGAGAGCTCGTCTAAATCTGTGATGTCTGCCTTTCGTTCAGTTTTATTTCCTTATATAGAGTCTCGTATGTTGTCATGGTTACATAGTTGTGTTTTGAAATATATCACAAAGGAACTGCGGCCACATCGTCAATAACAAGCTTTCGATCATTTATTCATTAAAGTGCATTGGGTACTTACCATCAAGTATAAAATAATCGTTAAATTATTTCAAATATATGCTCTTGATTTGAATATTTGGTTGAAACGCAACCCATAAATTCAAATTTCAGCTATAATGAATAAGGAATAATAATAGTAGCATCAATCTACTCAAAGATATATTGCATTAGTTATTGTTTTGAATACAATTGGAATGTAATCAAAACTTTTTATACCATCAACTTCATACAGGTACGTAGAAAGAGCAACACGTATATTCTGTACTGAAATAATTCATATGTTGTAGAACGAGATAGTGGATAAGAAGTATATGTGGATAATTGCTGTATCAATTACAAATGGATTATACATACAAATCTTTGTCAACGATAAACACACACACACACATAAATCCACAAACGTCTGTGGAAGTCCATGTAGTGTCAGCTGGTCATTTGGTCATATGTCTTAACGAGAAATAACCTCTCATGAAAGGATACACATTGGATAATCTAGAACACCAAAGTAGTGAGTATGTCATTAGGCATGGTTGTCAGATGCAGCTCAATAACATTAGTTCAATACCCCGAGACTGTATATCTCTGATTGAAGTACCTTCACCAAATGGGAGTCTTTTCGCAATTCAACTAGCTCCTTCTTTCAATATTATGAAAGGGAGGAGGGAAAGTGTGCTTCCATCAACTCCCTGCACCGAACTCCTCCGTATCTCATTCTGTCAAAGACCTGACAACAAAGCCTCGTATCTAAGAAGCCTATGCAGATCTTCGGGAAAGGACCGCATAATGCTTCCATAGAGACAGACCACACTGCCTCCAGTGTCGATTCCCAGCTGGCCCATCGTTACAGAATTATTGAACAGCCAGTTAGTTTTTCTGCCTCTCTCTCTAAAAGTGACAAGACTCTCTCCCGAGGTATTAGATCTCTGCTCACATTGCCTCTGCGGATATAGCAGCACACGCAACATCACGTGTTTCGATGGCCTTTTTAGGAAGCCCTTAATGAGAGCCAAGTAGTTGCTTTAATCAGTTCTTTCACATGTATAAGGAAACTAAGTACGGGACAATGCATGTGTAATGCTAACTTCTGGATGGGAGGATTGATTCACTTGTCTCAAGGGGCAGGGTGGTGTAGGTGCCGGGGAAATTAACATTAATCCAGTGTATTGTTTAAGGTACTTCCCTTACTACCATCGCCACTACCCTACTGTTAGTGTTGGTGGCTAAGAAGCAAAGGCTTAAAAGGAAACGTTGATATAAAATATGCCCGAATATATTTGCATAAAATTATATGAAAGGGGGAGTGTTTTCGGAGTTAAGTCTTGCACTTAATCAGGTGAAGGAAAACTAGGAAACAGAGAGCTATATATGTACATGTGAGAACAACGAAAGTGCTAAAAAGTATGTGAGTCATCTTTTCTGTAAAACTGTCTCGTCTTCCCAAACTCGTGTCTCACGTTACGACACATAAACTGATTGTGCTGTTAGGAGATATTACTGGCAAATCACTTTCAAGTAAAATGTCATATAAAGTTAGATAAAAAGCAATGACTCAAGATATCAAAACAACACTGTCATTGCGAATCTCCCTACCCTTACGAACATTGTTCACCAATTTGGATCATCTTAAAGCACTCCGGAACCGTAACTGCTCCCAATGAAACGTATTGTCCTGATGGTTCTGTTTGAAAGTACCTTTGCTCGTGGTTTACAACAGTGTAGATAGAGATTGGGCAAAGCTTTTCTCCGAAAGTCATCAGCGAGTGAAGATCCCGTGCTTTGATGTACGGTTAATGAGTAGAAATACGTCCTGGACACAAAAAGCATAAATCCAACTCCGTAATCTAGATTATCCAGATGAAAAGATGTGTACCAAGCCATTACATTCTACCTGAACTAATGAATCCACAGAAACAAATCATTATGGTCATGGAAGATGGTCATGTAATTCAACACGCCACCAGACTATCACATTGAAGTCACATTGAAGAGGATCAACAGCGTCGCAAAACAGTTTCATTTGATACTGACTGGGGACATTACTGATGTTGTTGATTCAAGGAAACAAGTATGTTCATGTCCGCTGTCTGCTTGAACTGTTCACAGCCATTAAAGGTAAAGATACCTGGGTAAAGAGTATGCTATTGTGAACTTCAGAGTTGATATCCCGAGGTAGACGAAAATCATCTACCGAAGCATTACGCATAACGTTCACAGTTCCATTCCGGTAGACATAGGAACATTCGTCTCCATCGTGTACTATTTTCCATTTGTACAACACCTCAATGATTGCCTTGAAATTCCGAACTGCTTGGAATGTTATAGCCCAGTTTGTCCATTGTCCGTTAAACACAACGAGTGAATTTGAGTCACATCTAAACCTTCTACATCAAATGATTTCATAACTGACAAACCCAAACCAGTCTTTGGTTGTCATCTTTGGTGAAATATCCTACCCCTTGTCTTCACTGAAAGTTAGGTCTGTCTCTCTTGCTTTCAAGATGCAGGAGTCAATCACAACACAATGCGAAATATGAACACTGTCAGAACACTGTATATATGACACGTGTCATGTCCCTTGGTACCGGTGGAAGTCACTGGCCGACCTTTAGAACCTGGAAATAAAATAGGAAATGCAATAATTTTGTTTCATTGCATTTAACACATCACGATATTACTTTTCCCATGCATTCCTTTTCGGTCTACGTTCAGCTTTATGCACCCTTAAAAAACTGTGTGAGCGGTATTTGAGCTCCACACTCGGGATCTGGATGAAGCTGAAATAATCCTCAAAAACATAATTTCGTGTTTCAGTATCGTTATACAGTAGACAGACTGATGCTATAATAACATAGTCATAACAATCATCTTCCGAATATTTAATTTAGTCAGTACCATTGTCTCAAAAATATATTCAATCAAGTCCATCTTAATGGGGTTATATGAACCGAAAATATTTCATTAAAGTGCCTATATTTAAACATCTAAGCACAACATCAAAGACGACGTTTTCCGTTTAATATTTAAGTAGGAGTTCAGTTCAATACTGATGAACTTGGATAGAGCTATATGATGAGATGTCATGTTATCATGCTAGGTACTTGAATAAATTTGGTTCCTCGGATTAATCATCGTAGTCACTCGATGAATGACGTCGTAGTCAGTGTTGTGGCCGTTCCGACCAACGTGAGGAGGGTAACGTTGATCCTCAACTTGCCAACGTAGGCGAGGATCGGTTGTAGTTGGTTCCGTCGTGGTAGTTGTGGTTGTTGATGTCGTCATCATCAATCGCCGATAGGCTGTATAGTCTGAAGATAAGAGAAGCTGTTGTTATACATGAAGATATTTGATTATGTAAAATGTCATCATTATCTAATCACGTTTCAGCTACATATATTCTGACAGTGTGTCAAATAACATACATTTAAATTAAATGTTGCACGTATACACATTTCAACAAATGATAATTGATTCGTCAAATGAAACTGACGATGTAAGCCTTACTTTTCAAATTATGAATTGTCCCCAACGAAATGAGACCACAATTAATCAAGCAAATATGAATATTTTTTTATCAACATTCTATAAAATAATGTGACATGCCAGTCTTGAATACAATGACGTCACGATACAATGGGTGACGTCATATGCTGACATGACACCATATCTCGCCTTTCCAGAATAAGAAAATCAATAAAATCGAAGTGTTTCTGATATGATTAATACTTCAATGTACCACATGTTATTCATCCCTAAAAGTATTCATTCACAGTGAGTAGACTTCGAATGCCATTTAACGAGATCATTATTCAATCAGACCACGGCACATGCCTCTTTCCGTTTTACAGTATGTTAGGAAATGTGGCACTATGTCAACCAAATGCAATACAATACTGCAGTTCACTTGAACAAACACTGGGATTCATTTACAAAAGTGAAATTAGAGAAGGCCATTCTTTTTATCACTGATGCATTAAATTTGGCACAAAACGTTTTGAAAGCTTTACTCAGACCTAATGTGCTGTAACAATGAAAATGAACTTCTAAGAATGTGTCGTAGGGCACTTTTTGAAATCTTCGAAGCAAGTGCATGCTTGGCTATATTTAAAGAGGAGAGATATGTAGACACCAAATATGGCCGTTGTTTAATTAAGGCCAAACAAGTACATTTTCGTTGTCTAAATAATCACGTTAGCGTTAATGTCATCGTCTCATGGTAAATAACATTAATATATAGAATTTAAAAGAATATTTAGTCTTGACTATCCCCCAAAACAAATTCTGTTTGGTGTAAAGGGAAAAATACCTGTGAGAATTACCTGAATGGATCACTGAACATCAGTGTTTTTTAAAGACATGCTATATTAAATTTTAGCATTAGCTTTAAAGTTATCTACTCATTATATAGCAATTATAATTCGTTGGTAGGCTACACTTGGCATGTATCACGTGAAAGTCGCAAGGGCAAACAGTTTCAAAATTTTGAAAAAAGGACATTTATCGATTTTGCCACAGACACCACCCGTGACTGTGCACCTATTCCATTCAATGCAAGGGGAGATAACCAATATGCAATGGACAAGAAGAGACAATCCAATTAGACCAATGCTAAATGAAGATCATAAGGATAATTCGTTTATTCCTTCGCTCTCAGTCATATTGGGTATCTATAATAGATGGAGATCTATTTCAGTGATAACGGCGTCTTTATTTGCTAACCATGCGTCTGCAGATCTATGCATTGGCAACTGATTGGGTTATTATCCGTTACTTGACTTCTCGTTTCCCCAGTCTAGAAATGCATCTCAACGGTTGCATTTGTATTTATACAGGACATGGCCTTACAGACCCATTCTATTCACGACACTTCAGTAGAACCGTTGTATAATACCATTCTTTACTATTCCTTGCTGCTGACAGTGATAATGATTAAGTATTAAAGGGACAGTCTTTCAGCGGGGTGTTGAACATAGGACCAATACTTAAAGAATGATCATAATCCATTGTTTGCTGCTCATTTCCAGTCTAGGTGTAAGTCATATACATTATAGTGACTGGCGTGTGTTTTACTGAGAAAGCTTGCTTTTATCTGTGTATTGTATCTGTGACATTGTTCAGCTTCAGAATGACGTATCACGGGTTTATGCCAGGATATATATAGTAGATTGCATTTCTACGCGTAGTCTGCCTTTAAACACAAAACTCTTTCCAGATGAAAATATAATTTATAATTAAAGGTTCAGTTCATTTTGTTAAGGAATCACTGCATTATCGTATTGGATATTACTAACTCAAAGTACGTATTTTATAGGGTCTCGTGCCTGTTGTCAAAGTTGGTTTACAGTATGTGTGCCTTGCAGGGACAGACATTATCTCCATGTAGCTAACTGATAACCAAGATATGCATCATATAATATTGGTGGTCGAGTCCACCTGGGAAGAGTACATGGATGTTCGCGACGAACAAAATCTGGCAAGTTGACAGACCCGAGAGTTTATATATAATATTATGAAGCATATGCATCCAGTAGTTAACGATGACTGTAATGATTATGTCTCATACACATAACAATATTCTAACACATGTAATAACAATCATAATTATTTTGGTTCCTGAAATCAGCAAATGAGCATAAGCAGGTCAGTTAACACAAGTCTGAAGAGTGTTTGGGGATTATATGCAGCTATGAGAGAGAAGCCCGAAATTGATGGCGGTATCGGACAGTTACAACATTGTTCAAACCAGTATGTGCCGGTGTGTTGCTGACAAACCAATATCAAAACAGGGATTTGAACCAAAGAACAAAACGGCTGTACAACCCCATGTGTATAGCTCCCATTTTGTTAATGTTAAGATCCTAGTGGACACACAGACATGAACTGACATGTACTGGTTGCCTCGATTTATTTTTTCTGACCTTCCTCGTCTATCACGTGAAACGGACGTTAACGAATGTGCAGAACACAAGGTCTATATAAACAAAACATCTGCGCAGTAACTCGGAGTTGAAGCTCATCACGAAGCTTCAGACCCCAGTGTTGTTTATTACGGCTGGTAGATACACACCTACCCCAGGGCAGCACGGAAGCAATTACACCAATATCACGGTTGAGTTCACACGTCGGATGCATGTGACACACACCTTTCTATGTGCACCACACACCCACCCATATCAATTACAGGCACACCTGTATGTAACCAAGAAGCTTACGTTTCCCCGATACATACACTTACATGTCGTTGTTACATTGGCATGCCTGCACAGCATGTATCTATGACATACAGACATACAGACATACAAACACACATATCGAACGTGCACATGAGAGGCAACATGTTTGAGACATCTACTTAAAAGAGAACCTGTTGGAGACATCTACTTAAAGGAAGTTTGTTTTGGACATCAACCTCACAGAGAATCTATTGGAGGCATCTACTTGAAAGAGAACTTTTTGGAGACAATTACTTGACAGATACCCATTGGGGACAATTACTTGACACACAGTCTAAGTAAACTTAGACTCAGTAATATATTATTCGTTACACTGCTATACTGAGTCTAACAAAACCTTTTGGAAGGTCGCGTCAGGAAACCTTTGAGCGACCTATGACCGTCCAATCAAAGGCGAGACGGCCGAACGGATTTAACCAATCAGACAATGGCTACTATTTAGGGTTCGGCGGGACTTATAAAATGGATTTTCTCGTCCCCGGTCGCCAACAATCTCCCAAACAAATGAAAATCCGCATAAAACACTGATATTTGGCCTGCAGTATAAACGCTTTGGGGTTCCTGTTGACATGGTTATAATTAGCTAATATTTCCGCAAGTTGACATGCTTTAATACTGACAAAACGCTATTTTCAGCAAATGTCTACTCACTGCTGTGGCGTGCATCACTAGGAACCGATCATACGGGAAATAGCATTCGGAATCGTTCGGGTACAAACTTTTTCGAGGTAAAAGTTCAAAAGGTATGTGCGAATGTCCACTTTCGCGATTTGGTAAACTGTGTTCTGATTGGTCAATTGGAAAGGTTACCTGACGCGACCTTCCACAAGGTTTATTTAGACTCAGTATAGCAGTGTAACGAATAATACTGAGCCTAAGTTTACTTAGACTGACTTGACAGAGAGCCCATTGGAGACAACTACTTGACAGAGAACCCATTGAAGACAATTACTTGACAGAGAACCCATTGGAAACATGTACTTGACAGAGAACCCATTGGAGACATTTACTTGACAAAGGCTTTTGGAGACATCTATTTGAATGAAAATCTGTTATTGACATCTACTGGAAAGATACCCTATTGCAGATATTTACTTGAACGAGCACTTTTTGAGACATCTACTAAACCGAGACTCTGTTGTAGACACCTACTTGGAAGAGAACTTGGGAGATATCTACTTAATTGAAAACATTTTGGGATATCTACTTGAATGAGAATCTATTGGAGATATCTTAGACTACTTACATGAGAACCTGTTGGGGACATCTACTTGAAAGAGAAGCTCTTGGAGACAACTACTTAACAGTAAACCTATTGGAGACATTCACTTGACATGGAGCCTATTGGAGATGTCTATTTTAATGAGAACTAGTTGAAGACATCAACTTGAAATGGAACCTATTGGAGATGCCTGCTTGAAGAAGAACCTATTGGAAATGCCTACTTGAAAGAGAACCTGTTGGGGACATCAACCTGAAGGAGAACATGTTGTAGACACCTACTTAACAGGATGTCTGTTTAGGACACCAACTTGAAAGGAAACCAGTAGTGGACACCTACATGAAATTTGTTGTGGACATGTAATGGTCAATTAGTTATGGAGTACTAAAATTTATATGAAACGGAGAGACCTATAAGGAACACTCATACATTGTATTTGAAAAGAAACCCAGATAGATGGCTGGATGCATATACAGAAAGTACTCTAACGCAACAGTTTTTTGTCACGTAACATTCGGAGGTTTCAAAATCACTTCGCAATCTTGCCATAACAAACTTACCGTACAGAACCATGCTCTCAGAGTCACTGCCAAGAATATTTGAGGCTGCACATGTATATTCCCCGAAATCCTCCTCATCCAGAACTCGTATCCTTAGGCTAAGAGTGATGGTATTATCGGCATCATTGTAAAGCTCTATCCTGTGTTTGGCACTGTTCTGGATTTCTTGTCCTTTCCACGACCAGTAGCTAATCTCGAGGGGATTTGCTGTGATCATACATTCCAAGATTGTCTCTTTCCCCATCACCTGGCCGATCCTCTTGTTCGGGAGCCGAACCTCTGGAGGAACTGGAAATATCACACTATGAATAAAGGATAATCTATACAATCTTCGCCCCTAATTTAGCTAAAATATGTTCCGTCATGGAACAATAATCAGACTTGTATGTATATTTGCTATTCACCGCTACACAGAAAATATTTAATTTTTGAAACGGCGGCATGTGATTAATTGAGTTTAGGGTGGGTAAAAGAGTGGTTGATAATATAGCATGCCCAGTGCCTGAATCACATCGCCAGACTACTGAGAGTCTGTTCAATCGGGGATGCTCATCAGGTATAATTATTGGTAACTTGTCGTTGCTTAAGAGGTAACATTGTGTTGGAGTGTTGGCGAATTCCTTCTAATGCCTACCATATTGTGGGCGACTGGTCGTTTTGTTGACAAATGCCGTATCTTCCCTCTTCTTTCTTTTTAGAGGTATACATGCAATGTTCCCTATACAGTTTATATTACGCTTTCTCGGGGTCAGCGTTCTTTAAAGTGAATGTTACGCACTTGAAATCTGATAGAGAGAACGTTGCCGAATCAACAGTATGACATATGTATGTTTAATGATATTGTATATATTTCCGCCTTCACGCCACTATTATACAGCTGACATTTGCATCAGAGACAATGAGAAGTGTCTCTGCCCTCTGGCACATTCACCAACAAGTTCTAAGTGCCAGAAGTTAACATATACCAATGGTATTTCAAGCCAACTGCTTATCTAAAAACTACTTTCCGTCTCCAGTAATACATCAACTGATGTAGACCTGTCACACTTTGAACATGCCGGTATCATCAAATTACTTGATCATCTAGGATCCTTATTTGGTCTGCCTTTAAAGGGATCTACTGTATGATGTTGTTTTTGTTATGGTGCTGGCCTTTATACGTTACACACACATATACGTCAAGTATAATACATATGTTTGTGTCTGTTAATATTGACATTTAAAAGGAATCATCATGTGTTACATTTATACAAAGGTAATTAATTGTGAATAGAAGACATAAACACATTTCAAATATCATTAAAATGTCATTTGTTCATCATGAGATCATTTTTTGATTCCGACCTAACCATATACTTGTCTGTCTCTTAAACCATTGTTCTCAAAAACCTTACGACAACAAGTACTTATAAATGTCTGGAAATGTTTCAAATGAAATACAATAGCACCAAGGCCATACTGATACAGTGGAATGTTATGTGAGAGTACGATATACTGTGACGTTTTGGTTTAGAAACCTAAGATGTAAGGTATCTGTCTCCTTTTCATGGATCGCTATATCACTGACAGAGAGAAGTGTTATATTGCAAATATTTCACTTATATTTCACACACAAAACTATAATAACTATGATATTTGAAATTTATATAAATTCACAAAGGTATGTATATGTCTGGCGGCATGTATTTACAACCTGAGTGAGTTACTCTCATTTGTGTAAGGAAAATCACAATATGTACTTTTGTCAACTCATAGTAATTTCAAATACCTTAGTTATAATATTTTTGGTGTGAAATATTGGTGAAATGTTTGTACTATCACAGAAGCATAAAAAACAAGTGCCACTCCCTGCAGTGTGGTACAATAAAAGCGACAATAACATTTTTATCGTCCTGAGAAATAGTTGTTTAATACAAATTCAATCGGACAGTTCCAACTATCGTGAACATGCATATAATATCATTCAGTTGTCACTGTTCTGATACATATGCACGTATATGACCAGGTCTTTCAACGTGAAAGGACTTAACACAAACAGTCATTCATTATGTCATTAACAGCAACAACAGGTACACTCATAACTGACTGTGATCTTATAGTGCACCTGTTGATCTCATCCTTTGTTCAGTAACCGAGCACCTGGGCCCTATAAGGAAGGACTGTTTCACTAAGCATTTATCTTCGTGTGAGCGTTTAAAACCGTTTTGATTTGTACCTATCACTGCGTGTCGGTGTATTTTGAAGGGAAATTGAAAGTCTTAAGTAACAGACAGACAGACAGACAACTATATCGCCTACGAAGAGTGTCACTTTGGGTTTTACGCTTCCCTTCCAATTACATATGTATTGATCCTGAGAGACCCATATTGGACACTACACACATATCTTCTACGTTATACTTACAGTCTACGGTGACTTTGATTAACCTGTTCGCGGCTGGAGGAACACCGTTGAAGGCCACGCACTCATAGGTGTCGCCGCAGTAGCGAGTGACGTTGTGGATGAGGAGGACCTCGCCGCTCATTCCTATTCCTGTTGTCACAAGCATAGCTACTTTCAAATTATTCGCACTGTAACAGCGCGGCGGATATTTCACATGTATCTGTGTAATGTTCATAAAGAAAATAGTTTAAATTATTAATTTCGATAAAATGTATTTATCGTCACACAACAGCGCTGTGTTGCAATATGAATCATGATAATTGCATTTACAATTCCAAAACAATTTTCTCCTAGCGCATTGGGTAGGGAGGTTTCTAGTTAATGTAAACACTTGTACTACATTGAAGAAGACAAAGAAGACAAAGTCATCAATATCCCTCGCAATGGTAAATTCTCTTCATGAATATGTCAACTAGTTATGATTATGTCAAATGTTACATTGTTCTTCACATCGATCTACAGAAAACATATATGTATAACTATTCATATACACTCATGGACAAGCATTCTTGTATCAACAACAGACTGCCTGACTGCTTCTACGATTTGATGTACCTCAGTAATGTTGATACTAGAAATAGAGTGGTACTGTTGATTAACTATCAAAAGGCACCAGTTCACAACCAGACCTTTCTATGTGCCAAATTTGGTGAAGCAACATTTAACGGTTTTAAAGTTCTGCACCGGAAGAACACTACCACCAATTTCAGTCGAAGTCAAATTTGTTGCCATGGAAACGAAAAAAAATTTTATTCAGAAATCGAAAACTTCCAAAAGACACCATGGCCAGTTTACCACCAGGCCTATTTATGTGCAAAGTTTGGTGAAGAAATTGTGACCGGTTTTCATGTTCTTCTCCGGAAAATATGATTTTGCATGGACGGACACACGGACGGTCCGAGTCCAAAATAATATCCCCGCTAAACGCGTTGCGGGGGATAAAAAGAACTTATAGCATGAAGTTGCACACCAAAAATGCAACATATATTATCTTCTCAGTTTGTATAAGATTTCATATATTTGATAAAGAGAAATTAACGTCGACCATTAAGTGATCACCTTTCGTAATCCAAACTGGCATTCTTTGAGAACGAACTACTACCGTAAAGCATTAGAAAGGGATTAGTATGTTCGAATTTGTAAAATAGATATTCTCAGCAATTCAGTGTTTAAGTATCTAGACGGATTCTTTGACACTTGATACACGAAGAATACCGCAAACGCAGCGCTACACATAACGACTTTTAAAAGATTTGTTTTGTCTGGCAAGAATTAGTTTCACTCATTAATAACCTTTTATTAAACCTGTAATATGAATGCACTCAGATATTAACTACAGATAAACGCCCGTTAAACGACAAAACATCTACACAGCGATTTCTGAAAATTCAAACTGAATATGAGATTTCATAATCATGAAATAGGAATCAGACAAAGCAACTCCAATAATGTTTTGAAAAGAAAAGTGAAAACCAAACTGAATGATGATTTGGTCGACTGTAAAGTCCGGCAGTATTCGGCTACCACATTTTAGGTGTCTTACTTTCTTTCTCGACGTCATCGTCAGTAATCCTGTGTCTGTACCACGTGATTGTTGGCGTAGGGATGCCAGAGACATTACATATCAAGGTCACCGTATCCCCCTCTCGAACAGTGATATCCTCGGATGATACGTCATGGTTGATTTTGGCAGGTACTGAAATGATATGAGAAAATATATAATGTAGTTTATAGTAATCATGATATACAATATTTGTGTAACGCCCCATATGATTTAGAAACCTAAAACACGCTAAGGCGCTTCACAGAAAGAGTCACGAATGCTTCTGAGTGTAGTATGATTTAAAGAGATAATGTTTTATACACTATTAGCACTTTGCTATTCTGTTAATCTGACTAAAACTATTTCTAAATAAATGTACAAATTAAAGAGCAAAGAGAGTCATAAGTTTAATCGCACACACAACAATACACGCAGGCATCGGACAGAACACACACAAGAGAAGAGAGAGAGAGAGAGAGAGAGGAGAGAGAGAGAGAGAGAGAGAGAGAGAGAGAGAGAGAGAGAGAGAGAGAGAGAGAGAGAGAGAGAGAGAGAGAGAGAGAGAGAGGTACGCGCGCACAAACACTACCCTCTCATGTGTATATTTATACATGAAATCGTTCTATTAATCTAACGAAAGATCGCATTTGGGAATGTTACTTTTACAAATCGCAACAAAAGATTTCTCTGATTTCTCTTTTGTGTAACAGAAATAAAAGCAACATAACCGGTTTTACAGCCACACGAAATTTCTGCTAATTGCAGAATCGATTATATGATTTCGACTGAGCATGTGTTTGGGAATCATTTTCATATAGTTATGATGCCATGTGCCCCTGAGAGAGCGAGTCAAGTCATGGTGAAGTATAAAATCCACAAACGTGTAACTGATCTGTAACTGACCAGTAATTAGCTGTGGTGGATGACACTAATCCGCTATGGCATACATTCACATGGCTTTGATACAGCCTCTTCCAATTATTACACTTCCCCACGCATCCGTCGTTGAAAGGTGTTAAATTTTCATGGGGTAAATTTCTTTCCTCTGTGAATTGTAAAGGTCTATAGATTCTTTCAACATGCAAGAAAGTCGAGCTAGCAATATAAATTAAATATTTTAAGGATGGTTCGTACGTACTTTAGTGACTTAATGACACGAAAAACAATTTCATGTAGGGATTCATACAAAGTTGAGTTCTGATTTGAAAAGTCTACATAATGTCAATTATAATTGAAATGCTTAACCAAATTAGTTACAATGAAGAAAATTAATTATCAAACAGCATAAAAACTAAATCTAGCTTTTAAAATACCTATTACATATATGATTATAACTAATATACACGATGGCTTCCTCGTTATCTGATAGTTTATTACATACGCTACTTTAAATACCGATGATTTAATGGCGTAGTCAATGTTGATCAAGGTGTTAGAAATGACAAACATTAACCCTTCATCTTAAAATATGACCGTTCAGTTCTCCAAACGGTATCCCCGATAAATGTCACATTAACTGTAGATAAGCACGTCATTGCTCTGAATTTTTCATGAGGAAAGTCTTCTTTATCTTCTCAAAGGCCCCAGGGGTCCATTTTCTTGTGAAGAAAACCAACAATGAAAGACATTCTTTATACAACATAGTAATATTTTTGGACAATGGCTCCCGCTATCAGATGGCGGTGTCTAGCCACTTGACTGTTGAACGGCACAAGGTACATTAAGAAATGTTAGCAATATGATGTCACAGGACACGCCTTTAGACAGTCATAAACATCAAGATGATATGTATACAGTTTTTACATCTGTCCAGAAAAGTAAAGTAGTCGTTGAAACAGCACCGCGGGGACACCTTAAGCCTCAATATGAGTGTTGATATTATTGATATATGCAAATTCCTTTAGTGCAAAATATCACACAAACGTTAAAAAGATAAAATATTCGAATTTGAAATGGACATTATATAGCGATCCTATACTTGTTATCTTTGAATATTGTTTTCGTAATATACTTATATGAGCAATCAAAATTGTTTGTGAAAGTTCGAATGGTTTCTCCAGTAATGATGATACTGAGCGAGTGTGATTTTAAGTCGATTTTATGCCAGCAAGGTCATGGCGGGAAAGAATACAAAAGGACACAGTGTACCCATGAGGAGAGTCGAACCCCGTTAAAATCCCCTTTAACACGATTGTTGGGGGGAATGTCTACATGTGTATATACATTACTATACTCATGATACTTTTCTCTTGAAATTTGTGGCTAAAGAACACACATCGTTTTAAGTGTAGTCTTCACCTTTGCCACTTTCATTTGGTCTCCACAGAAATGTTACATACAATAATACAAATGAAACACCAGACAACGATTAGTGTGGAAAGATGGCTTCGGGGTTGATTAAACTACTAAAGAAGCTAGCCTACCTCGTTCACTCCTACATGGTGTCTATTTTATCTGAATTAGCACAAAACTGATAATGTCGTCGAACAATGTTAGATCACCTAAGGGGAGGCTACTTTAAGACCAGGTATGACCGGAAGTACTACCGCCCCTTCGTCCGCGGTACTGAGCATTCCATTCCAGAAGCAGTAAATTAGACAGAGAGCAATACATATCAGCATGGAACCATTAAACGACTTTGAATGTTTCATTTGTGTTGACACATACAAGTAGCATTCTGTAACTGGCACATTAAACATGTATGGTCTAAATTTCTCACCCAAGGACTGCATACAACTCTATTGGGATTAATGCCTATGCTGAAGAAAATACCGATTTTTATGCTACTATCGATATCTGATGCATCCATCGGCAACAATGTTGATAAACAATCATTTATGGGTTCTGAATAGAACAAAATCTGAGGATTGACAAAATCGCCTTATACTGGTATGCCAGCTGATTTTTTCAAAACTATACTTCTATTTTGCCGTTCTGAAATGTTAACACTCCCATGCAATGGTGTACAACGGACTGGTATTTCTTCTCTAATTATCAAGGAAGTAAAAGAAGAATTACATTGTTTGAAGTTGCAAGGAAATACTTGCCAAACACGAGTCAGCTTGTATTTACCTCCAGAGTTGCTGTAGTGACATGTTACATGCAAATACTGTTACTGACGGTAACTTACAAACATATGGGGAAATTATATACTCGGTGTTCCTCACATACAGAAGTTGACATCCATAAATCCCCCTTTTCCTGTACTGAAGGAAATTGCTGACACGTTCTGTGTTTCATGATTTTCATCCAGTCAGTGAAAATATGAATGGTAATGGTTTACAGGTACCAGTTTGAAGTATTTCTGAAGGTCAATCATTCACCATTCATTAGCTGCTGTGTGACAAGTAGACATCAAGTATCTACAACTACGGGAACACTGGACGTTGACAGGCCAAGGTATCTTTAAAGCATCTGATTGTGTATATGTGTCTGTCTACCTTTGTCTGTCTGTCTCATCTGTGTGTACGCATATATGAGTGGGTTGCTGTTGTTCCGTGCGTTTGTATGTATGTGTACACCTATAAGAGATGCAAAGGCAGATTTAACCATTAATATTTATGTGCTCGAGAAGGACATGTACCGACAAGAAACAATGTGTGGGATTGACAAAGTATACACGTATGTTTCTAAATATGGATATTCCTATGTTTGGCTGGCTCAAGATGTTGGTGATCCCAAAACATTTTCTTTACATTTTCAAGCAGCGCCTAATTGACATGTATTTACAAGACTGGCATTATTCAATCAATAATTCATCTTTTCTTGAGCACTATAAACAAGTGAAGTTATCCCTTCTACAACCGGAAATGTACATATCGTCGCTAAGGGATAGAGACCTGAGAAGAGCTTTCTGTAAAATGAGAATATCGCTCCACGATTTTGCTATAAACAGGAAAAGGTGTGAGAATGGTGTAAGTCACTTAGATACAATTTGTCCTCATTGTTATTGTGGTAGGGAAGATGAGCTTCATGTATTACTTGTTTGTAGTAAATATTCATCTCTAAGGACTAGATTTTTGCTAAACCATTCTGTCATTGCTATTCATAGTGTGATAAATTTGTTAAATAGTACAAATATGAACGTTATTAAATCTGTTGCATTATATCTAAAACATGTATTTAATACCAGGTCTCACACGTGACCAAGTTGTATTCTGTCGTGTTGTTGTACAATAGGCCATGTGGCCAGAGTACTGAATAAACTACTTGAAATATAGGGCCGTTTTTTCCTATCTAACTTGTTTCCAAGGACACTCATATAAATGTCATCTTGAAAAGATGAGGACATTATTTAAAAGCGATGTGTCTTGTTTCAGTTCTTGGTAAAAAACATGTCCTTCGTGAATAAATAGTTGATTTGCAGTATAATAAATGTTTCAACAAAACAGCTGTGTATATCGATGGTGGCTTCGGCTTCACAACGAAATATTCCAGCGATATCATGGCGGTGTACCGGACTTTGTACCGAAGAGGGGAATGAGCCCAAGCTGCAGCATGATTAGTGAACGCTTCAACCTCCAGGTTACCAGACCCGTGAAGATCCGGGTTAGAATGGATCTTCAGTAACCCATGCTTGTCGTAAGATGCGACTAACGGGATCGGGAGTCAGGCTCGCTGATTTGCTTGAAGCACGTCACCGGTTCCCAATTGCGTCTATCGATACCCCTGCTGTTGATCACTGGATTGTGTGGTCCAGACTCGAATATTTACAGACCGCCGCCATATAGCTGGAATATTGCTGAGTGTGGCGTAAATCTAAACTCACTCGCTCACTCACTCATTGGTAAGGCTCGCTGAACATGTTGGCTCCTGTCACTGTACCCCAACTACGTAGAACGATGTTCATGATGTTGATCACTGGATTAGCGACCGCTGTCATATAGTTGAATATTGCTGAATGGGGCGTTAAACAACAAACAAATCAAACACTCACTCCACTTACTCACTAGATATACACAGGCTCGAAATATCGGTGAGAGACCTGGAGCCTGAAAGTACATCTGTCAACCAACTGGCTTACACAAGATATTCATCATCATTACCATGATGGTGAAGGGAGCTTATTTGTGCTTAAGGAAACTCGATACAAGAATGATGTTATATGATATTCATGAAAAGATTATATTATTCTCCAGTAACATACAACATTATGTATTTTTGCAACCATAATATCAGGACACTAAAATCTCGTATAACGTTCATGTTCTGAAATATAGACGGTCGCTCAGACAAACCTTGAACTCTGAGATGAACGGTTTTAATTTTGACCGGCGTTGTGTTGATCTGGCAGTTGTACCCTCCCTGGTCGCTGTGTTTGGCCGCGCGGATATGAAGGTTCCAGTCTCTGGTGTACGGACGCTCCACACTCAGGCGCTCGTCGTCTATGATGCGGCGGTCCTCAAAGGTCAGCAGCGTTGACCACTGGTCGGTCCATATCACCTTTGTAGCAAGAACATCAATGATTGGTCAGTTGGATTCCATATTACCGGTATAAAGAGTACAACAAGAGGGATCAATCATCACCAGTTAATCAGTATGTTATATGTCCGTACTATTATGATAAATGTTATCGACCAAATCGCCAACATACCGTTGTCTGGAGCACGATTTGAACAGCACTAAAATAGCTGTCCAATCAACTCACTGTCACGAGCGCGCGCGCCCGTGCGTGCGTGCGTGCTTGGAGGTGTGTGCGTGTGTGTGAGAGAGAGAAGGGGGGTCGTAACGTCATTTACGAAATGAAATGAAGCCATTGAAGGGATGGTTGGTTGAATGATGCCGCACTCAGCAATATTGTAGCTATATGTAAAGATATATCTGTAAATATTCGAGTCTGGACCAGACAATCCAGTTATCAACATCATGAGCATCGATCTTCGCAATCGCAATATGATGACATGTGTCAACCAAGTCATCAGGCCTGACCACCAGATCCCGTTATTCGCCTCTTACGACAAGCATGGGTTACTGAAGACCAATTCTAACCCGGATCTTCACGAGTCCCATTGAAAGGAATCGAGGATTATAATCATACTTGAATGGAGATAATATGCAATGTATAATTAAAAAAATATATACGTACAAACATAGTAAGGTGTAGCTTCGTATATCAATATAGCGAAGAAAATAGAGACGACAAAACCCTTTCCACATCTATAAGAAATTTCTGTTGAAAGCAAAGTAGATTACACAATTCCGACTCTATTTTGAGCATGTGTTTCTGAATCACTCTCAAATAGAGACGGTAACAGATGTTCGCGATGAGATGTGCGTATCCTGTCCCCTCGGTAACACCCGTCACAAACACATGCAAAGGCTAGTCAATTGCTCATCAGATAAAATACGGGAACGTGTGGTACATAACAAAATAAGGAATCTGACATCCTGTTTGTTACTGAGCGTCAAATTTGACATTTTTTCCACATGTCTGCCATAAAATATTTTTAAGAACTAAATTTGTGACAACATTCTAACAACATTAAGAAATAACGAATGACGATGATCAAATTCATAACAACTGCACTATGCGATAATCTTGTAAACACATCCCATTTACGTTTTCTTATCATTATCATTTAATGGTATTAAAAATGATAAAAATAAAATAGATATGACGAATTTCTCTTCCATATCGGGGCGGTGGGGTATCCTAGTGGTTAAAGCGTTCGCGCGTCACGCCGAAGACCCGGGTTCGATTCCCCACATGGGTACAATGTGTGAAGCCCATTTCTGTTGTCCCCCGCCGTGATGTTGTTTGAATATTGCTAAAAGCGGCGTAAAACCAAACTCACTCACTCACTCTTCCATATCAGTATGATTATGTGGTCGATAGTAAATGGACCTTACAGAAATGCAGAGTTAAGGGAACAGGTGCCTCCAATGAATCCGGATGTGAACATTCCAACTGTTAAAATTCTACTGAGTTAAATATCAACTTATTGAATGATACGGTTCGTACAACAACTAGATATTCAACGGATGCATGAGTAAAGAATATACCAAACTGAATCCGATATGCCCTCAGGGTTGTATATTTCTTTACTGTTCATATCATCCCAGTGTTTAAGTCCGCGCAGTGCTTCAGTACAATGATACTCTTGTATTCTAGGATGGCGAGGAGTATGATTCCAAAATGCTGGTCGACCAGTGACTCAACACTTTACCCAGCTCAGTCACGCGATCCCGATGCTTCTAGGCCTCTTACCACCCACCGTCAGGTTGAATTCTCTCCGTCAGAGGCAAGTTAAATGTATGGCTTCTACCCAGATAACAACGCTTCGGCATTGATCCTCAATGTAACTGCCCAAGCAATAAAAGCGCACGGCGCTTCCCTGGCAAACTGGTTTAAAATGGCTTTCCTTTAGAACATTTACTCTCGGAACTGTCAACAGAAACTAGGCTATCATCGCTAGCTTGATGATGGCGATATTTGGTTGAACACTAATTCATTTGGGGTTTCACCGTTAACGTTATTCGAATTTCAATTTCAGCAAACAAAAACGATATCAATAGTGCAGAGGTTGACTTAAATTAATACTTATAGGATGGGTGATGATATTTAAATGAGATGTTGCCCGGATATTTAAAGACATGGTAAATTGAGTTCGTTGAGGTTCAGAAGACGTCCTTTGTTGTCATCAATTGTTTGGTTGGTCCAAACTTAATAATGCATAGGTAAACACTTATGTCGCTGATTGCGGCGAAAAATATCATCCATTTAATTATTTTGATTGTTATTACGCTTACCTGGTGTTTGCCAAGATTTTTAACAGAGCATGGTAAAATTGCAGTCATTCCCTCTCTCACGGTGACGTTCATGAAGGGGACGTCAAAACTGGGGGTGAGGTTCTGTCCGTCTGAAACAAGATACATACAGTCTACAGAGGGCCACGCCCTTGACCTACACTGTCAAGAGGTCACGGCCACAGCATATACAGTACAGAGGGAAGTGCGGAATGAACGTTTAAAACATTTGAACAAGGACTCTATTAACTATTACATGTCAATATTAAGCTATTTCAAAAGAATCATATAAATATTCAACAAAATGTATAAATAATGTATTCATGTGTCAACAAATGATTGTTTTCAATAAAACAAACTTATCTACATAAGGCTGGACAATAGTAAGACTGTACATATTCTGACGAAAGAAAATCAGAAAATACGTTTGAAGTAACCATGTTAGGTCTTACTTCTTGACTTTTCAATATATGGGATTTGGATGAATTAACTTCAAATTATTTATAAGCTGGAGTTAAACAGTTTTCCATATCAAGATTTGAATGACAATTAGAGGCTACTGTTATGCTTGATATGCTGACTATCGAAAACTTGAACCGTAGAAATCGGAATACACTGCTTCTTCTTCACGTAAATTTTGCTGTATTCAATTGGAATACAGAACCTTATGGACAATGAGATGCCTCAAGATGCCAATTGCCTTGGGCTGAACTTATATGTAACGCATATAACATACAACAGTTGTAACAAACACAAAACAAGCACTTTTGTATACATAACAACATTAATATAATCCGGAAACTATTTATGCAAATATAGTTAATGGCTATATGGATATCGGTAGAAGCTACAGTGGATAAATGACACCGTCAGTTTGGTTGATCGAACATATCATTCATCAGAAATTCCATTGCCATATCGGTAAATTGTGAAGATAAAAACACAAACGAAATAGGTCATTACTTCACTTGTGTTCACGTGCATTGGCACTGTGCATGGCCCGAACATATTGCCCACTGGACTATAAGGGAAGATAAGGCTACGGGAGAAACGGATGAAAGGTTGTAATGGTCAAGACGCTGCTACGAGCGATGAGTTGATATCCAACATTAGCCTGTGTATAATATAACAATATTTCCATTATCGTCATAGCGATATAAACGAAACGTATGTGTTGAAATATAGCAGTAAGCTACACCTAGTTTAAAGAAGAAGAACTGCAATAGATGCATTGTATTGCATCCAAGCAATAAAGAGGTTTTCAATCCATAAATATTGTTCTTCTTCGTCATAACAGCTTCTAAATGCCACTTAAAGAATGTGTACACCTAGTTTCGGATTACACTACTTTGAACCCTGCTCCGGCGTGTCAAGGTAGGAGAAAAGCCAGTTAGAAAACTTTCCACTTTGGTAATGTCCATGTTGATACATTGCTGCTAATGTCACTGTCTTCGGGGGGATTTGGATCTACAAATGCATTTAATATTGCCTTTATCTGTTTCAGATTCCAGTCACTTGAGAGTTTACCTGCATCTTGAAAGTTTGGCAATCTCGTAAACATCTTTAAATTGCTTTCTTGACATTAACTGACATTGAGAACTTTGGTTAATTCTCCTTCAGGTGAGTTGTAATTTTATATTGGTTAATCTACTTCAGGTGAGTTGTAATTGTATATCGCATCGACATTATTGCAGCCATATCGCAGTGGGTGTCTCATATACCGAACAGATATTTTCTGGTACAATTATTCTATCTTATGTGACTATGTTGTTTAATGTCGATGTTTCCATTGCTGAACTGAATTGTATTTATTCATTATGTAAAACTTTGAATGCAGTATAAGGTAATTAAATTGCAACAGAAAATTATTCAGTCAAATTGCATTACACAGTTATGTTATCAAACACGTATTCATAATGCTTGTGCAATGCCTGTGTAGTTTAGCTACACGTATTGGTAGGTGCGGCAACGTTTGCATGTATATATTATGGAAACATCCTCCAGTGCCCAAATAAGCAAAGCATGTCCTGAGGCATTAGGTCGTTCTAGTTAGGTTCTAAAATATGCATACAGGCCTTGGAGAACGCCGTGATAGACTCCTCTCGCAGGGGAGGGTTTATCACTGACAACCAAAACTTTAATGTTTCTAAAGAAGGATGATATCCTTTCAAACGTGAACTTTTGGGATGTTTCTGACAGAAGTGAATTAATTATTCTGCCCATGCCTAATGGACCAGACACATTATTAAGATCGATACCTCTAGGCACGAAACAGGCAAGGATGTCTATTTTCCGTTGATCGTGTTTTAGCATTAAGTCTTTTCTGAGCCAAAAAATCAAACAAGAAGGACGTTCATCATACGCGAATTTAAGAAGGGGGCAATTATTTATCTTTATCGAGCTCATTATAAACCTATCTTGAAGGACACTGAAAACAAATTGATATGAAGAGGCTAAGTACAATTTCATTACCAAAAGACGAATGTCATGTACAAGGATCATCTTTGAAACGAAGGATGAAAGTGAGGTGTGCGTAATATAATCGTAATTAAACATGCAAAATTATAATGTGTCTTTGGTGTGCGTCTTGCTGAAACATATTAAATGGTCCTATTTTGAACTATTTTGATCCATTATTTGTTTGTTTGGGTAATAGATAGGTAATATCAGTCCAACGTATATATTCCAAAGGTGCAATAACATAATAATATTATTATATTTTGATGATAATTATGAGTATATGGACAATGTGGCCTTTCAGATCGACTGCTCCTCTAACAATATACACACTAAATGTAATGTTAATGGAGATTAGAGTTAAGTCCCGCTTTTCTTTCCTTTCCAAGGATCTGCAAATGTGAACCGCAAATTATATTCACCATCGTTGATTCAAAACCCAGAAATGGCAGGGAATAACATAATTTGAGAACTAGCAACTCTATAACATTCAAAGAAACCTCGTTAATCGTGGTATTTCAGCTTAAATTGTCGGCATTAACTTATTTTTGTTAGCATGTGATGTTTACGGGTATCACGGGGTCCAAACGAAAAACGTATCAGAGAAAAATAATGTAATCGCGATTCAAAAATGCGATAATTCTTAAACCTGTTTGTGATGAATATATCACGAAATACATACATGTAGTACTGTCACATTTTATATCATGTAGTACTGTCAGAGTTCCATACATGTGGTAGTCTCACAGTTGCATACCCGTAGTACTATCACTGTTTCATACATCTAGTAATGTCACAGGGGCATACACGTGGTAGTGTTACAGGTCCATTCATGTGGTAGTGTTACAGCTTCATACATATAGTACTGTTACAGTTGCATACCCGTAGTACTGTCACAGGTGCATACACGTGGTAGTGTCACAGGTGCATTCATGTGGTAGTGTTACAGTTTCATACATGTGGTAGTGACACAGTTGCATACCCGTAGTACTGTCACAGTTGCATTCATTTGGTAGTGACACAGTTTCATACATGTAGTACTGTCACAGGTGAATACCTGTAGTACTGCCACAGGTGCATTCATGTGGTAGTGACACAGTTGCATACATGTGGTAGTGACACAGTTTCATACATGTAGTAGTGACATTCATGTGGTAGTGTCACAGTTGCATTCATGTGGTAGTGTCATAGTTGCATACCCGTAGTACTGTCACAGGTGCATTCATGTGGTAGTGCCACAGTTTGGTAGTGACACAGTTGCATACATGTAGTACTGTCATACAGGTGCATTCATGTAGTAGTAGTGACACAGTTAGTGTCATACATGTAGTACTGTCACAGTTGCATACATGTAGTACTGTCACAGGTGCATTCATGTGGTAGTGTCACAGTTGCATAGTGTCATGTACTGTAGCATCACAGGTGCATACATGTAATACTGTCACAGTTGCATATGTAATGTGTCACAGGGTGCATTCATGTGGTAGTGTCACAGTGCATGCAGTACTGTCACAGTTGCATACATGTAGTACTGTCACAGTTGCATACCCGTAGTACTGTCACAGGTGCATTCATGTGGTAGTGACACAGTTGCATACATGTAGTACTGTCACAGTTGCATTCATGTGGTAGTGACACAGTTGCATACATGTAGTACTGTCACAGTTGCATACATGTAGTACTGTCACAGTTGCATTCATGTAGTACTGTCACAGTTGCATTCATGTGGTAGTGTCACAGTTGCATTCATGTGGTAGTGTCACAGGTATATGTTCATTGCATACATGTAGTAGTGTCACAGGTGCATAGTCATGTTGTAGTGTCACAGTTGCATTCATGTAGTACTGTCATACAGGTGCATTCATGTGTAGTGTCACAGTAGTGCATTCATGTGGTAGTGTCACAGTTGCATACATGTAGTAATCACAGTTGCATTCATGTCACAGTTGCATTCATGTAGTACTGTCACAGGTGCATTCATGTGGTAGTGTCACAGTTGCATACATGTACTGTCACAGTTGCATACATGTAGTACTGTCATAGGTGCATTCATGTGGTAGTGACACAGTTGCATACATGTAGTACTGTCACAGTTGCATACATGTAGTACTGTCACAGTTGCATTCATGTGGTAGTGACACAGTTGCATTCATGTGGTAGTGACACAGTTGCATTCATGTGGTAGTGACACAGTTGCATACATGTAGTACTGTCACAGTTGCATACATGTAGTCACAGGTTGCATTTGTTGCATTTCATGTGGTAGTGACACAGTTGCATACATGTAGTACTGTCACAGTTGCATTCATGTGGTAGTGACACAGCTGCTTACCCGTAGTACTGTCACATTTGCATACGTGTGGTAGTGACACAGTTGCATTCATGTGGTAGTGACACAGTTGCATACCTGTAGTACTGTCACAGTTGCATTCATGTGGTAGTGACACAGTTTCATACATGTAGTACTGTCACAGTTGCATTCATGTGGTAGTGACACAGTTGCATACATGTAGTACTGTCACAGGTGCATTCATGTGGTAGTGACACAGCTGCTTACCCTTAGTACTGTCACATTTGCATACATGTAGTACTGTCACAGTTGCATTTCTGTGGTAGTGACACAGTTGCATTCA